GCGACTTTCTTTCCTTCTTTTCTTACCCTGAATCTCATTATTTCATGTTCAAGTTAGTTATTATCAGAATATGTTACCTAAACATTGTTCCTGTTTATTTATTTTAGTTTTTAAGATTCAGGGTTGTTTGAATACAATTAAGCATAGTTTAATTAATTAATGTCATCAGAATTCCTTACTGTATGTATACACAAAGGTTTAGCGTAACAAGAATGATTGTCGTTTTTTTATTCGTAACGTTACGGCTCGTTGTTTTGAAACGTTTATTTGTTCAGTAACACAACGTATATGGGCATTTATTTAAATAGTTAATTTATTCACACTATATGACTGTACACAACGTAAGATTATTTTTATTTAAAAACCGTAAACAAAATTTATAATACTAAGTAGGTAATTATTATTTTATGTAATTTAATTTATGTATTTCGTTGTAATACTACCTAGATTTTATTATAGTTACTGGCAGTGCCGTAACTAGAGGAGTGCCAGCGGTGCCTAGGCCACGGGGAGGCGGCAGACCCTGTCTGCGGAGTAGGAATATAAACGCAAACTTACCATTTTCGCTAGAGCGTAATTCCAGAAGCTTGCACCACCTGATAAAACGCTAGTTACGACACTGGTTCCCGTTTTTATCTAGAGTTTACAGTAACTTATTGGTATCCAAAGCAAAGCTAAAATGTATAGTATATAATGCTAAAATAATAATGTATGTATGCTTTGATATATTGCAGGTAGTAAATGTGCCAATTTAGGATTGCGAATCACGCACATCACTTGTCAGTTATAATGAAACAGCTCTGCACAGATATTGTTTTAATTAAACATCATAACGGTTTGACACTTGCAAAAGTTAAGGTATCATAACATTAAACCCAATACTGCAAAATTATACTCGTACATTGACAAGAAACGAATTATAAAACGGTAATTGCATACGTTATTACAAGACTAGTCCTGGGAGAGCCATGATTCGGCACATATCGGCATGCTCCACCGGAGTGATACGGATCCAAGGCTTCACAGAAACCGGTTTTAAGCTCCTCAATCTTAAAATTATTTGTTGTATTCATTCATATTCAAATGACAGCTGTCAATAGTTTTTAGCAACGATATAAATAGTTATCGTTATTGTTACAGCAGCCATATTAGCTCAGGGACTAGGGTTACTGGTCCATAACTGAATCCTTGTAGTAAGGCCTATTATAACAAAACCCCAGATTTGTAGATTGCTATCTAGAGTATTTGTGGGTCACCTGTTAGTTCTATTGCAGATAGCTTGTCAACAACAATATTGTGTTATCTGTAGGATAAGAAAGTTTAAGTCGAATCGTAAAAAGTATCGTTTTTATTTAAATAACTAGTAGCGCGAGTCACGCTTAATAGTTTTCTTGTCAATTGGGTTTACGACGATAGTGCACTAGTGGGGTTTGAAATGTCTACCAATTAATCTCTACTCCGATACCCTAGCCATTATGCTACCGCCGATCTAAGGCGTCTATTAATAGCTATATTGTGTTCTAGTCCAGAGTTGTTCAAACCACGGCCCACGTCTATGTATGCGGCCCCCAAATGTTTTCATCTACCATGAGAAAATATCCCCTTTCAAATTGATATTGATAGAAATGTAAAAAATAAGATAATGAAAAAGTCAGTTATTATATTAATTTAAAAATATTTGATTTAGTCATTTTTATTGGCCCTAGATCGAATTAAGTTTGGACAACCCAGTTCAAGTCGTTAATCAGCTCACTGTTGTACACGGTGTCTGCGCAAATTGCATTTGTATCACACCTAAAGAAATAACAACAAAATTTTATAAAAAAAAAGTATTTATTGTGACATTTTTTTCACATTTGTTTCCTTACATATCAAAAAAATCTGTACAAAACATAGTTGTTTGAAAGTACCATTAGTTTCGTTCGAATTCTTCACCTCACACAATATTGAGAAAAAGAACGGAGGAGATAACATTTCTGAAGGCAAAATTGAACATTTTCCAAAATTATAAATTACCGTTTGAGATACAATTGAAAAAATTACCAACAAAGAAAACCCTCTGGACTTTCTGATGTACAAATGCCTTTAATAGTGTTGTAATCGATGATTTATTTATTAAAAAAAGAGCTGATTGATTATTACACATCATTAAAACACATTCACTCTAAAAAAATGTATTACAAACTCATTTATAAAACAATATACTAAGTGATGTATGTATCTTATATTATAATAGTTAAATTGCCGCTTCTTAAATAAATGATTTATTTATATACACTTTTGTTTTATTTTTTTAACAAGGTTTTTAATATAAAACTGTCAAAAATTCTAAATACAGAAGGGCGTACGTAGCACCCTCTATTACATGACTTGGCAGCTTTATGAGGGCCTATAGTACTTTTATTTTACATTTACCCAATCATCACGGTGACTGGTGATTGGTGAAAAAAAAAATCGTCAATATTGCGTTTTGCGTCGACATCAAAACTCAAAAATAATCTATTCAATAGTACCAACATAACAAGACTAGTTATCATAGAGTATACCTACTAGGTGAGTTTACATACTGCACAGTCTTACAACAAAATGTTCAAGAGTGAGTAGAACTCTCGTATGGGAAGATTCCGTAGGATAAATATGTACCAATAAACTTTACTTAAAACAATCTTAACATTATAGTTCAAAAAGAATAATACATTTATTTAATTTGTAGAGTAAGAGATTTGTTAAGCAAAAACTGTTAGGTGCAGAAGTTGCGGCTATTATGGAAATCCATAGTAATATTTTATATGCTTGTGTCTGTCTGTTCGTTACCTCTTCAAGCTTGAACTGCTGAACCGGTTTAGATGAAATTTGGTATAGAGATAGTTTGAGTCCCGGGAAAGGACGTTTTTACCCCAGAAAGTTAGCAGTCCCAGAAGGATAGTTTTTATCCCAGAAATCATCCTTCAAGTTGGTTGAAGTTTGTATGGGGAAACAATAACCGCTGAATAGTTTGATTCTTGAGAACGGACACACAAGCGGGCGGAGCCGCGTGCAAATGCTAGTTAGCATATATTTGAGACCCATTCAAAAATACTTTTCATTTAATATGTAAAATCATACTTTGTTTTTTTTCGAGTTTTGGCTCCAAAAATGCACATTAAATAATCAATATTTATTTATTATCTACACACATCGATATGTGTACCAAACTTCAACTTCATCGGTCTAGTAGAAATTGATTTTAGATTGGAGGAATTTAAATCAAGACAGATTCTCTTGCTCTAGTATGAGCGGTTTTTTTTAACTCTACACGAAGGCGCCAAATGGCTGCCACTATAGCTGCTCACTAAGCAAGGCAAAATTATCACAGTCAACATTCAGTTAGTCGGCTTCCTCAGCGGTAGAGATAACGGATTAGTGACTTTCTGTTCAATTGGAGTTAAGATTCGTTGAAATTTCTTCTTAGGAATCTTAATCCTGGCCTCAGGTCTAATCGGTCGAGGAGGAGACCTTGTTCGAGTTTTAGATAATTTAGGCCGATCACGTCTGACAGACGGTGACCTTCGTTTATGATATGATCGTGATTTCGACCTACGTTTCCTCAGGGCCTCATTCCATTACCACTGTAAAGACACTGAGTTAGTGTAGACTACCGATATTTATACCGATGCCAATGGCCACTCGATGGCATCTCAATAGCGTGTCAGTGGTATGACAGTGGCTTGGCATGAACATAAAATAGCAGAATTGAGGCCCTGGTAAAGTGAATCTGTTCGCCGACATATCCCTTAGTATCTTGAATACTAGCGAGTTGCTAAATATTTTAGTGCCTACCTGACTTTTGACGCTTTTTAGCGCCGCTGTAATAATAATAATATTTTTCGACATCTGACACACAACGCTATCTGGTGTCAAACTAAGCAGAGGTTGTCCTATGTAAGCTAGATTGACTGATACTGTATTATCATGGAAAACACCAAAACTTCTAAACAAATATAATTTTGCTGGTCATACAAACATTGGGTCCGCGACCTGGGAATTGACCTATAGACCTCAGCACAGCAGTTCCATACGCTAGAAATGCATCACCGAGGCAATAACGTCTTTATAGCGTTCCTTGTGAATTTTTAAATCGTCGTATCGTGAAGATGAGCCTGCTTTCGTATTGACACATATTGTTACGGGCCTGTTGGTCTAGTGGTTAGTGACCCTGACTGCTAAGCCGGAGGTCGTGGGTTCGATTCCCACCCAGAGCAAATATTTGTGTGATGAGCAGGATCATTTATTCTGTGTCTGGGTGTAATTATGTGATACTTGAGGCTTGGTCACTCCTACAATAATTCAAAATCACTTACTAAAGGTTGTATTTGAAAATACTCAACTTTGAGTATCCTACTCTTAAATATATCTTCATCTCTCTTCCTCCCTTCAACCTTTTGTTTTCTTAAATTCATTAAAATAATTCTAAAAGCCTTCTTAAAAATTCTTTGAGCCAATCAAAGAACTTTTGCTCCTTGATCAGTTTTTCGGCTTAGCTCAGCAATCCATTATGTTAGCTATCTGACCCAGGTCTTACCATGTCAAGGAATATCGCCTCGGAACTTATTTGTAAAGAGCTAGTATTGGAAGAACGCCTATTTGGACGCAATCGGAAGTGACAGACAGACAGACTCACGACTGATCGTATAAGGTTTCCCATCTATTATTCGGACATTTGCAACATACATTAATCTGGCAATACTACCTTGTCTGTTTAAGTTCGCGTTCTGCACCTAAACACAATTAATATATATATATTTTATATTATTCCCTTTCATAAGCTATCCTTTTTTACTCAATATTTCAACAAAATAAATAATTTCGATGTTTCACATCTACCAAACTTTCCGCGACTTTAAATAATAACTTATTTTTTCATTTATCCACAACAATTTTCTACACAGTTGCCACCCCACACATTCTTATACCCTCCATGAGATTGGCACATAAGGACTCCTGAATATGAGACACAGCATTTAAGGTTTTGACTTAACTGGTGAAGGTTTAACTGGTTCGGGACACTGACACCAAGGCGTCCTGTTCTTATCACATATTAATTTCACATTCAGCACAGTGAAGTCTAACCCGTCAACTGCGACATTGTGTGTGCTTAAAAGTTTGTATTGGACGTCTTCGAGACCAGTTTTCCTGTCCCGTCGGCGTGTCACGTCACGTTGGTTGAAGCATTTCCTCATGTCACGCTTTCTGTACGTTTTGTCGTGGATATGCCTGCAATAATATTTTTAATGGAATTTTAATAAGACGCTTATGGTGGAGTGTAATAATTATAACAACTTAATGCTCACACGGCCGTTTGATTTCAAATTATGTAGTGTAAACCGTCAAAAGTTTGACAGCACGGATGGTGTAGTGGTTTAAGCGGTCGCCACGCCGCTTCCTACTACGTAGAATGTTGTGGGTTCAACCCCAAATTGGTGCGACAGATTGTGTATTCAAAAAATGTGTTTGTGGTTTCATGTCATATGATTGTTAAGTTCCCCACGACACAGGATATATTCCTATGCAGGAGTTGTCTTTGAAAAAAACCAAAAAAAAACCTGTGCTATGGTAATTACACTGATAAACTTATTTAATAATGATTTCTAAATTCATGCACGTTAGGATTTATTACAACTAGAAGACAAAGGATCGTTCGCGGATCGCTCATCGCACAATTATTTGTGCTTGGAAGTAATCAAACCCACGAACTCAGGCTTAGCTGTCATACAAACATTTGATCCGTCCCGGGAACTGAGACCTAAGCACAGCAGTCGCATGTGCTACCACTGCACCACCGAGGCAGTCAAATGTTTTAGTCAATGAAGGTGCTCATCACAGGATATTTGTGCTGGGTGGGTATTAAACCCACAACCTCTGACTGAATTCAGAAGAAAAAAAAGATATATAGTTTTATAAAACTAAAAAACATGCTTTCTATAGAAAACCAAACTAAACTAAAAAATTAGAAAACAAATTTGAAGATACTACCAAAACCCCATATCAAGTTATAATTTACCAACCAGTAGGTGAGGTAGGTAAACAAGAGGGGTTTTTTTTTGCAGACAAATAAGATTTCCTATTAAAAAAACGTGTAATACATATGTTACAAGTTGTTAAGACAGATAACATATTATCTATATCAATTTAATTTATGTATCTTGTAGCTACAAACCTATGTTAAATAGAATTCTATTATCTATGTTATCTAATCTGTAAGGTAATGTATTATGAATTGTGGGAAAGCCACGCCTCGGCACGTACAGGCGGGCTCGATGGCTTAATGGCCTTTAACAGTCAACTGCTGCTCCTTAGGAAGGAGGTGTTGGCATACTATAAGACTCTGGCCAGAAGGCAAACGGGTTGGTATAGAGTTTATGTCAAGTTTTTCTTCATGTTGCAGTGTTGTTGTACTGCAGAGTTTGCTCCCTTAGTTGGCTCTTACGACACCCACAGGATGAATAGGGGTGGTGACTCTCTGTATTCTTATTTTTACACCATACCTTGCTTCTTATTGTCACCTTATTCAAGACTTGTTCGTAAATAACATTACTTGTATAATTTTCTGTTCCTGCTATTTGGAGACATGGATTAGCATTTGAAATAATGATGAAGAAAATACTTTCATGAACTAACAGATGTCGTGTCTGTTATGGAAACACTTAAAAGGTGTTTCGAAAGATAATCTGGAAGTTTCTGATGATAAACAGAATCATACACATTTATTAGTTACCAAGGAACAATAGATTTCCATTTGTACAAATTTTCATCAAATAAAGAATATCTAAAATCTCAAAGATTTTCAAAGTATGAATAAAAAACAGCTTAGAACAATAGAGACACATTTTCCTTACCTAAAAGTATCATCAATTCCAGTAGTAATGTTACTTGGCCGAGCCACTGTCAGGTTAGCATCCTTTAATCTCACATAGAATTCATCATCTTCGAGCCCCCATCCCCAATAATTATTCGACATACCATTCACTAACTTATAATGTTCGTTCTTCACTAATAATATGCCACCAATAAATGTCTCATAGTGATATTTCGGGTGTGTTTGTGGTGATGAGATATGCATGGGTCCAGCGATCGGATAATCGTACTTCAAGTTATCATTTAGGGGCAACAAGTCCACATCATGCATAGCTATGTAGTCAAACTCCTTTTGAGTGTAAATAAACCCAACGTTTATTAAAGAAGCTCTGTTGAAACGATTATTATCCTTCTGTTGTACAATAAATATGTGAAATGGTATTTTCTGTTTGTTTAAGAAATTGTACATGTGAGGAATGAACTCTAGAAGCTCTTCGAAGCGATCTCTGAAGGGCACAAGTACTGCTAATTTCTTTTTCGCAGGTGCTTTCAGAGCTATCCTTCGGCGTACAGGGTTAGGTAATGCCTCTCTTTCTGTTAAATTAAACATGTAAATCAATTTAGCAACTAGTTAATTTTGTTACAAGACATGTCTTTGTATGTTTACTTACCGTATTGGATTGGTAAAGCTGCTAAATAACATCCCATAACGAAAGTTAGAATCAAGCACAAACCAAGACATTTTGAACCGCTTATCCGATAGCCCATTAAGTTTATACTACGATACATTAACTTTTATTGACCGATTTATTAAAAAATTTATAGTTTAAATCATTATTGCCAAACGGATTCAATAATTTAATTAGTAAATCAGAATTTTTTGAATTTCGTTTCCATTTGCTTTGCACTTGCTATTTCTACAAAATTGACGTCAATTTTGAAGAAATGTCAAATTGATTTGACGTTCCGGTTCACAATAATGAACTAACAATAAATTATAAAAGATGAAATAAAATTACAGAACCATTTTCATTTCCTTCTAAAGTATAACTTGAAAATGTAATTACAAATTACTAACAATCGAAATTCTAATCATGTGGTGTATAATAAAATTAAAAAACTGGTATTTTAGGATGTTTTTCAAATGTCTTGGTTCTTCTAATCAACTTTCTAGCAATTTAGTTTTAAGATTATTATATTATTTTGCGCTTTTTGAGTATATGAGGTAAACTCTTAGAGTATATACTCGTATAAGGTAAACTTAATAACGGCAACATACTTAACCATTGCATATTAGCGTCCTACGCCCCAAAATATTGTGAGAATGCAAGTAGTTTAATTTTAGGTTTAAGAAAAATTGTTTTATAATGGTGTACTTTGTGTCCGTTTCATGTATGTTTGTAAGTCCCCCGCACACAGGATGTATATTCCTAGTGAATTATTTAGCTTTCCAAAATTACAATTTTCAGAATTATGCTCAAGTAAAAAAAAATACCGGTCAAGTACGAGTCGAACTCGTGCTCGAAAGTTTTTCTTAATTTTCAACTTTTTTTATTTTTTGGAATTAATTCTTTATTTGTGTTGTAAGACGTTTCTTTTTACCAAATTTCGTGATTCTAGGTCAACGGGAACTACCATATAGGTTTTCGACCCAAAACCTATAGGGTACTTCCGGTTGACAATTTTGGTTAAAAGCAGTCTTACAGCACAAGTAAAGAGAACATTCTGAAAAATAAAAAAAAGTTGAAAATTAAGGTAAATTTTGGTACTTACAAGTTTTCGCGATTTACGCGAAAATTGAAATTTGCCCATATCTTTTTATCGTGTTGACTCTTACACTGATTTTTTTACACCTAATAGTGACCATAGACCTCAGTATCTGGTATAAATTTCAACTTGCTAGGTCTACGCGTTCCTGAGAAAATCGGTGGTGACACACGGACAGACGGACAGACGGACAAGAAAGTGATCTTATAAGGATTCCTTTTTTACCTTTTGAGGTACGAAACCCTAAAAAGTGTAGCTAAGTAAAGCTCCCTCCGCCGCTGCATTTTTAAAATACCAGCTGCGTTCAGATATGGTGTAACATGGGCTCGTCTTGGAATATTAAAGCAGTAACGCACACACGCGTTCTGCACGCTTTGCACTCAACCAGACGTTTTAGCTAATAGCTGGATAGCTTATTGCATATTTCTCACAAACTTGGCGTGTAAGATTTGCTACCTAAATCTTTAGCAGATAATAATAATAATATTTCGGACATCTAACACAACGCCATCTAGTTTCAAACTAAGCAGAGCTTGTACTATAAAAGCTAGATTGATTGATATAATATTTAAATACTTTTTTTTTGTAAAAACATACATAAGTATTATACGTATAAAACACCCAAACTCCGAAACAAATATTCGTAGATCATACAAACATTTGGTCCAACCCGGGAATCAAACCCAATACCTCAGCACAGCGCTGCGCCACCGAGGCGATAGACTTCTGTTTAAAAAAACAATGAGAAAATTCGAAACTAATTAAATAAGAAACTAGGTCTCCGTGTAAATTTTGCCAAAGCTGGATTCGGTAATGATGACGAAAATACCAGTCGAAGATTTTTTGAACATCCTGAGGTGGCAGCTGAAATAACACTACTACTACTAGCCTAGATGACACTTTCATCAAAAAAGTGATTCTTGATTTCAAGTGGGTACAAAATTGATATAAAAACATTCAAAAATTACTAGAGACTGCTAAACTTTATATGTTGTACTTTAATAGGTCTACTCTATTAAAGTGTAATATGGATGTTTTGAATAGGCTGTTGTTAACATCAGATCCTCTGCTAGCATTAAAGAGAACTGTAAAAATATATATATATAAATATGAAGGAAAAGGAACAAATGTTAATAGGTGAAGAATGTTAGACCTTTTATTTTTAATATTTTAAATGTTAATTTTTTGATATTTATTTTTGTAATTGTGATAGTTAAAATGGTGAATAAAAACCTATTTCTTTTTTCGAGCCCATGTTTTTTGCCCTCTAACTGGTAATTAGTGGTGGAGGCACACTTGAATTTAAGGTTTTATGCGTTATTGGACCACTTCCATATAATTAAGAGGGATAAATAATTTTGGCCAGCTAGATCACTAAAATACCCCTATGTGCAGCGTTCGTAATGTAAGCACACAAAAAATGTTTTTTACGACTTGCGTACAAGGAAAAAGCGACTTCATTTTATATACTATGTAATGTAAAGATTTATTAATTAAAGGTGACAACTTAGTTAAATAAATATCTACTGAGTTTTTTTCCGTATTTCTATATGAGATCTACGTATAATCTATTCTCGCGAAAACGTATCAATTTAAGAAGTTTCGGAACGAAAAGAAAAAGTGTTGATAAACTAGGGGTTTACCAGATGGAGAAATATTTTCCCTAAATCTTATATTCATATACGAGTATATTTGCAATTTGTTACATGTGATAACTAATAAAAACACTCCATAAGTGATAAATGTTTAAATTAAGTTTTCACAAATTTTATCAGACGGCGTTAGTATGCATGTATATAGATAAAGGTATTTTGTATTTTTAGGTAAAAATATATATCAGCGACGCAAGAGTTCAATAGTGATCGAATCTGATACCTATATTCATGGCATTTAGTGTCTTTGTTTACTCCAGACGGAAAAGACGTGCGAATGTGTACCCACCTCAGATCATACAAACAAGGTTTGTTTGTTTCAAACTCAAACTCAAACTTTCTTTATTTCATAAAATTTCCAAAATTGTTTGAAATCGTTTTCCATGTAGACTCTAAAGTCATAGATCAACACACACAAAAGCAACAATCTCTGTTTTGTCAAATAGTAACCAAATAAATTTAACAAAAATCAAACCCATATCTATGATATGCCTGTGCCGATCTACAACCGCCCGTTTCCAAGGGGTTGAGCCTTATGAGAAGAAAGGGCAAACAAACTCATGGCCACTCTTTTGCAATTTTTGATCTGAGATGTGTACTAATGACTTATGAATAGCCGTTTTCTTTTTTTATGTAGGGAGGGGCCAAACGACCCGACGATAAGTGACTATAGCCACCCATGAACTCGCAAGTACCTACTAATCAAGCGTTACAGGTGCGTAGCCAGGTTTTAAGTACGATCTTCTCTTGAATGTATGAAGGTCGTATCGGTAGTGTGATGCCGCAGGCGGTAATCTATTCAATTATTACTGTTGAAGATTATATTCTAAGATCAAAACATATTTGTTAAAAATGTTTATTGTTATTGTTAGGGTTGAAAGTTTAGAGCACTTAATGAAAGCACACGGTGACTTTAGCGTAAGACAATGAAATAATCCCCCGATCTTGCTTCAAAAAATCCCAAATTGTTCTTACAGAGGAATGGGCAAATTAGAATTTTGGTATTCAGCTCGCCAATTCATTTCACTAAGATAACATTTTTAGCTGCCGAGATTGTCAGCTATCTTAATGTGACCCAGATAATTGCTCTAGAGTGTATTTAATGTTTATTAAATAATTCGTTCTTTGAGGTTCCCAATTATACCTCGGGGTAATCAAAATAATTGTTCTCTGCATTAAAGTTAATAGGTATTCTCGTTTCATTCGTGTTTACCTTTGTTTAACAAACTCATCAGAACGCTTCCCATATTGAAAGCATGAGTATACATTATTTTTTATTAACCTACCATAAGTCTCTCGGTAATTTATTTTATGTTTAAGTTGATAAGATTGAATATACCTTATTATTACCTCATCAATTTACATAATAATATTTAATATATAGGTACATGATAAACAATGAATCTCTATGTGGGAAACAAGAAAGAAGATAGCAATGTAATTGAGGTTTATGACTCCACTTGTGATGTAGATAGTAGATAATAACAGCGCGGGAAAAAGCACCCGCAATTTTTTAAACACTACCTTACTGACCTAAACATAAAATAATGGTTAGGAAAACATTAATTACTCGTAAATGTGATCGGGACTCAGTTTAGAAGTTGTTATTAAGCTAAATTTGTTTGAATTGCTAATTAATCGACGTGAAACGACCTCCACGCACGCCATTTGCGCAGTTAAATTAATGGCGGCCACAATATGGCGTCGATTAGCTATTGTTTTCTTTTTTATTTAGGGAGGGGGTATAAAAATGTTTCGTTGATCGTTATTACTAGATACTTATTGTAATTATGAGGTAGTATTATGGTTGGACAAGGATAAAGCATTGTTATTATTTTTATAGGTGTCAATACAATTAGCTAAGGGTTTGAATTCATTGTTAGAGGTGTGGTTATGTGTCCATTATAGAAATCAATTGATCATCAAATTGTTTAAAGTAGCAATAAAGAGTTGGCTAACATTGTTGTGGTTGTGACAAAGTTGGTTTTGATCACATAAGAGCGATTTGAGATAGGTATAATGTAGTCCATAGATATGTATTAACTGTATTCATTTGAATTGTCAGACTTTAATATTACCAGTGTAAAATAATGTGATGAGATTGATGTTATTTTGTTTCGTTATTTTTGTTTTATAGTAAGGTGTGTGAGCCTGCTGGACTAGTGGTTAGCAACTCTGACTGTTAAGCCAGAAGTCGTGGGTTCGATTCCAAACGAGGAGAAAAATTATGCGATGAGCAGCGTTATGTGTCTGGGTGTAATTTATGTACATGTAAATATTTAGAAGTAT